CGTCTGTGCCTATCTATTGTTTTACTGCATAATTTCAAAATTGCCTTTATTTTCTGATTTACTCATATATATATATATATATATATATATATATATATATATATATATATAAATATATAAATAAAGTTAATGGTCAGTTGAATTAGACCAGAAAACAGTAGTATTAAAAAAGTGTTTAATACATATTTTAAAAAAAAGAAAAATTTAACATGTAGAGCTTTTAAATATAGAAAATTAGGAAATCAGGAAAATTCAGTCTACCTTGTGAATGACCTTTTCAGTAATTCATGTGATTTTGGTCAATTGATTTCCCTTTGTATTATTATGTTTTAAAAATTTATGAAACCTGTGTATTTCTTTTAATTAAAAACCATAATATATTTCCAATGTAACTTGATTTTCTTTTTAATTCTTCACCTTCTGCTTTTTTCTCACATTGTAACTTATTATTCATTTATTTTTTTTTTTAAATATAGCCTTCATAATTTTTTTTTTTTTTTTTTTTTTAAATAAAGCATTAGGAAATCAATTTACCAAAATTACCTGAACATACCCAAATTTGAAACTGAGGTAGTGGAATCAGCTGATTTCCTAATTTGTTATATTGTGTATTTGGGCAGCAATTCCTCTTTTATACAAGTTTTGTTGAAAACAACTGGCATGTGTTATTATCAATGAGTATGTTACCAAACTCTATCCATAACATACACATTGGTAATACAAATATAATAGCATCATCCATATGTACAAAAAGGCTAAAAATAATGGAAGTATTATTAATAAGAAAAAGCCAACACTCAATATCAACTATGAACAGGACCACAATCTGCTGACCATGTTTGGAAAATAAAAACATTCCTATAACTCTACATACATGCATAAAACAAACAATATATTCAATCCAACCTTGATAATGGCTAAAGGTATAACCAAAAGTGCTTGGAATACATTCAAACAATTTTTTTATAATTTATGTACTGAAAAGAAAAAACTAATACAAACACCTGAGAAATTACACAAAAAAACTCAACCACATAATCGTGTCAATCATTTTCAACAAAAACTTGCAATATGTACACACACAATATATATATATATATATATATATATATATATATATATATATCAAAATACACAAAAAAACAAGAAGCCTTTTCCAAGAAAGAAAATATTATTTGGCCAGATTCCCAGTTGATTCTGTTTTATTCACTGCATGCTTGGAAAAGGCATGAATCCATATTATTCTAATTATGGGTTAAAAAGCAGGGTAAACTGGGCAGCCATTTTAGAAGGAATATCCTGAATTCAAAATTGAAGAGGTCTATTCTACACAAGCCTTCACCATTATAATAAAATCATCTGTGTGCGTAGTTTAGCAGTTAAGTTCTGAACAGTTCAGTTCTCATGTTAAAATCCTATATGATAGGATAAGGAAACCGAAATTCTCTCACTCATACAACACTACCAGACATAATGTGATTGGTCCTGATCTGGCATTTCATCTACAATCACTTTCTCACAGATGTGCCATCGCTTACCTCTGTCTTTTCTACAAATACTTTCACAGTAACTGCTCCAACGAGCTACTTTCACTGGTTCCTAAACTGCATGAATTTAAGTGTGCTACTAAGTTGGCATTTCAGTCCCACCCTTTCACTGTCAAAACAGTTAAATATAACTGTCTCTTCTAATCCAATAGCTTTGTGCCTCACACTTCCTGTCTGTGGAACTCCCTTCCTCTTACTTGCTTGCCTGATAGCTATAATCTTCAAATATTCAAATGCAGTGTCAATCGACACCTTCAGATGCCTTGATCTAATTCCCTGTCCTTCTCTTCATCCTTTCCTCTGTCGCACCTCTTTACTCTTGCTCCCACTCTCTGTAACCCCTCGTGTGCTAGTGGCACTCCTGCCTTGCTTGGGGTGAAATGCTTAAAAAAAAATTTAAAAAACGTTAAAACTACCCACTAGATATTCACATGCACACACATTTTCAACCAAATCCCACATAAACCAACTAGAATTGTGATACACATGTACACAAAAATTATACAAATGAATGCAGCTTAACAAATACATGTGAGGTCTGCTTAACCAATGGAAAAAAATACACAAAAATAAAAAAATACCAGAATTTCTTTTCTTCCATATTTCATTTTCTGATGAAGCTTAGATAAAAAGCAAAACATTTATAAATATTTCCTATTTGTTCCTAATCCTATCATTGTCAGATTCTAATCCATGTTTGATCCCAATTCACACACACACACACACACATATACATTTTATATATATATATATATATAAATATTATATATATATATGTTGTATAAATTGTAGCCTACCTATGGATGATAATGGGTATGTCCCCATTCACATAAATACAGTAGTAAATACTGTATGTTGGTCTGCAGTTGGAGATTCATCTCCAGCTTTGCTGATCAAACTCTCTGTCTCCTGGTGGAGAGGATCCCTAGACAGGGCTATGTCAAAGGGCCGAGTCTTGTCTAGGGGAAACAGCTACCAGACCCTGTTTTTTACGGGATCTATGGGGAATTTTGGGCAGAGCATATGGGCTCAGATACCCCCACATTAAATTCGGCCTAGTGCCACATCCGACCATGTGGGGTGGTTGGTAGATATCCTAGAGTGGGAGATTCATTGTGGAATTCACTTGACTCCCTTCTAGCAGTTGACTATTTCTTCTACGGGCTGCTGGCGAATCTTATATGTGTTGTACTTGACCTAAGTATTATCGTTCATTACCAACCTTCATTTGATTATTCTATTCAGTAACCTTCCCTAGGTTACAACATTTTGGTGATGGGGATTGGTCAAAATTACAATAGGATATGAGTTTGTGACTCTGGGTTTCACACTTTTTCAATTATCAGACAAACTGGTTTATTTTTTAAAATTGGATCTATTTCTGCTTGTGCGACTATGTTTGGTGGTGGAAGGGGGAATCTACTTCTGTGTTTGTTTAGGGTGACACTAACATATACATAGACACATACAGGTGTATGCATTTTAGTTCACACCAACACTTCCATATAAGCAATTTGAGGCTAGGTGCAGATACATATCCATGCATTCAGGCATACATCAAATATGCAGTTGTAATTCTATTTCGGTGTCTGTGAAACCCAGGGTCACAAACTCATATCCATATAACTTAGCTCTATCACTGATATTGAGTGCTTTCCAAAATTTCCACTAATGAATAACTGCATATGAATATATATATATATATATATATATATATATATATATATATATATATATATATAGGAGGCATGTTGGGGGAAATGGATTTTAATTTGGATTGAGGAATCAAAAGATTTTGAGTTCGAATTCCAGTCAAATCCATTACATTCACTTACGTGCTAATACCTTTGGGAAAGGTATGAATATTCTTCCTTTTCCCTCCAGCTATGGGTAAAATAGCAGGACAGACTGGGTTCTATAGCCTTTTTTAAAACTGGTCTAGTAGAAGGACAATTCTGAATTCAAAAACCTGGAAAATTTTAATGTTTGGGAACCTTGTGGCACTCCATGCACCAGGTCTCTGTATTCATCCCTTCAAAAGTGTGGATGGTCCTGCATGAAGCCTTCATAGATTTATAATCAAATCTCATGTGCCAGTAAAAAAATTTGTCGGTTTCCTGAAACTGATCTTTTTGAACCTCATTTTTTAGGAATCTCAAGGGAGAGTCAACTAAAAATATATATATATATATATATATATATATATATATATATATATATATAAATGTGTGTGTGTGTATATATATATATATATATATATATATATATATATATACACACACTCACTATAGAGGCACAGTGGATTAGTGGATAGCAGCTCAGATTGAGGAATTGGAGAGCCAAGTTCAAATTACAGTTGAATTTATTACATTCACTTACATGCTAATACCCTTGGGAAAGGTATTAATCATCATCTTCTCCCTCCAGCTATGGGTAAATAGAAGGACAGACTGGGTTCTGTAGCTTTGGATGGCACCTGGTCTAGAAAAAGGACAACTCTGAATTCAAAACCTGCAGAAGGTTGTTTAAGGACCTTGTGGCAATTAATGCACCTGGTCTCTGTATTCAGCCATTGAAAAAGTGTAGTTGGTTTTACACAAAGCCTTCACCACTATAATCAAATCATATGTACTGGTGTCTGGCCATCTGTTCCTAGGAACTGAGCTGCTTGACCCTCATGCAATTGTAGATGCCACCATATATACACTGACACAAAAGTGTGTAGACAAAATATTTTTTCATCATAATTTCTTTCCTTGTCACTGAATTTAATTTGGTCATTATAAGTCAAATATTATATAGGAAAAAGTTTAACTGAAAATTCAGCTGTGTGTTGGTTGCAGATGTATTAATATGCCTGTATATGTGATCAGAAATGAGAAATTTTTATTTCTTCTTGAATTCAACTTACAAATAACATTTTTACAAGCAGATAAAATTTAGGAAAAATTTTAAATTTCTAATTTTGTTTTCAACTTATCTTTCATCAGTAACTGTTTATCTTTATTTATGCTAATTACATGTGGACTATTATCCTCATTTTTGTTGTCATTATTACAGAAACAAAGATGAGAACAATAGTTTGCATGGAAATAGTGTAAATAATAATTCCTTGTCCCAGAAATTCATACAGAATTTGTTTATCTCTAATTCTTTGTTATAAATGGAAGATTACATTAGTTACTGTATGTGTCTGTCTTAGTTGCTTTTTTTTATTTTTTTAAACACTTAATTTTGAGGCATTGCCAAATATCTTAGCATCCTTAAGGAAACATGAAATTTTAAACACATTGCTTCATTTTTTTCCTCACCTATAGTTCCTTATTTTCCCCATTTTCATAGCTTGTTTTTCATTTTTATATTACATTTTTTCCTTTTTTATTTAATTCCAGTATTTTTTTTCTCTGCTCTATTTTCAAATTACCTCCCTTTTGCCTTTTTTTTTCTTAATAGATTTCTTTTTCCTTTTTTTCCTTTTTTTCTTTTTCCAGATTTTTCTCATTCCCTCTTGCATGAGTCCCAACTTTTTCTTTTGTTTCTTATTCAATATCTAATAGGCACTGCAATTTTAAGATCTGTTGTCAACTTAATTTTTTTAACTATTACCTTTTTATATTGCCAAATTCTATAAATACATTTCCATATGTTAGCTTCTTTTATATATTTTGAGTATTAGACTTTCTTTAATTTATTTCATATTTGACTATATACACAAAACAAGACTGCATTTGTGGCTTTACATGTTTTTACACTTCATTTCTAAAACAGTGTATGCATGTATCCAGATGTGATATTAGTTAGGTTTGTATAAGTCATGACTGCTAAAAAGACATCTGAAAGGGATTAGAACTCATTTTTTTTGTTTTTTTAATTAATAAATAAATGATAATCTTATGGTAATTGACATGAGCCAGTTTGTATTGGTAAGAGAAAAAAATTGTGGTGACATCATTTATAGTCTAACGCTTACAGCTCAATCCTATGACGTCTTTAAAAATTAGATTACTTAGCTACAACTCGGGGTTAGAAATTATGTTTACCTGGAAATAATTGCAAATTGCTGCTATATTTTAAAAATGTACTTTAAGGTAATTCATGAAATACCTGTTTTCTGTAGTTATTTTTGGTTTTGTGATGACCGTCTGTAGTAAGACTTTACTTTGTCCACTGTTTAATAAAGATGCATTTCATTATTTTTCATTGCATAAGAATGTTTAAAAATATTTACATGTTACTCAGAAATTCTATTTCAAAGTGAACATGTAGCATTTATTATAAAAAATATATTTTTTGCATTCTAGTATTTTCACGATGTATTGAATTAGAATAATTTCTTCTATATTGGGAAGAAAGAATCAGTTTTGGTAAGGTAAAATTTAAAATAGGTGAAAACAAAAAATAAAAAAAAATTTTCTTCATTTTAAAAAAAAAAACTTTTTTTGTTTTTGTTTTCCTTGTACATTTAAAAAAAAAATCCTAAAATGTACAGTTTACTTTGATGGGGTGGAAATAATGTTCCCATCTGCAAATCCAGACTTAAATTTACAAGAGTAGTAAATTGAGATTTTAATCTTACTTTAATATTTATTTAGTTGTAAATGATAAAATTAAAAAAGATTTTACGTTTTAAGATGTATAATTTTAATCTTTAAGTAATGGTTCAAATCCAATCTTCAGTTTCAACATTCTTATCACTTAATGCATCTCAACATCAAAGTGGCTATCTCCCTACACCATTTGCAAATATATTTGTGTTTGGTAACTTTAATGTCAACCATGGCCAGTAGCTTAAACCCACAGTCACTGACCTCACTGGCATCCAAACCCTGAACATCTCAATCACAATTTCACAAGCAAGTGATAGACTTCCCCCATGAATTTCCCTCAATAACCCTGATGGACACACTTCTCTGCTAGATCTCTGTTTTTACCTCTATCCCTGACTCATGTCATACTATGCAGCTCTGCTCTCTTGGCAACTCTGATCATGTGGCAGTGTCTGTAAACATCTTTTTCTGCTCCCCCACCAGCCAAGAACCTCCTTCTAACAGAATACCTTTCTGTTAACAACAAGCGGTTTGGGACTATTTCCGTGATTTCCTTCGTGACATCCATTGGAATGAGGTTTTCAGTTATCCTGTTCTAAAATACACATCTGAGGTCTCCTCCTGTGTGAAAGGCGGCATGGATGCTTTAATTCCAGCAAGGAAATACCAAGTTAAACCTCGTTCATCTCCTTGGTTCTCACCTACATGCTCGGCTGCTATAGTCCACAGGAATCACTTCTTCTGGCTGTACCAGAGTGAAATGTCTGATTGCAACAGATATCTCTTTGTCTCTGCTTGTAATGAGTGCAAGCATGGCCTCAAAGAAGTGAAGTTACTGTTTGTTGATAGAATGAAACAATGTATAGCATCTTGCAAGTTTGACTCTAGAGATTATTGGCGGCTCTCCAAGAGTGTGCTGAACAACAGCAAATCCTCAATTCATCTTCTGTTCAATCAGTTTGAAATCCTGACATCTACAGCAGATAAGGTTGAATGCCTTGCTTGGAAATTCCCTTCCAACTCAACACTTGACTCATTTGGAGTACCCACACCTGATTTTCAGAGAAAAGAACTGAGGCTCTACTGAGTGATGTGTGTATAAACCTGTCACTGGTCTCACACATCATTTCTAAATTAGACTCCCATAAGGCAAACAAAGGAGATAGGATCCCAGGTATCTTCCTAAAGAAATGTGCTCCCAAGCTGGCTCCAGTTCTCTCCAAACTCTATAACTATTGCCTCAATGCTTCCAGCTTGTTAGAAGTCCTCTGTAGTTCCTGTTTTTAAGAACTCTGGGGAACCTTCTGATCCCTCTAACTATTGCCCTATTAGTCTACTACTGCTTTTCAGCAAAGTATTCAAGTATTTAATCAATGCTGATGTGGTGAAGCATCTTACCTCTCACAATCTACTCTCTGATAAACAATATGGCTTCCATTTTGCCAGATCTACAGATGATGTGATAACGGCCACCATTGAATATGTATATCAAGTGCTTGATAATAATGGCAAAGCTTGATCTGTGGCTCTAAATATCTTGAAGGTTTTTAACAGTTTGGCATACTGGTCTTTTATGTAAGGTCCAGGGCTATGGTATTACAGGAAAGTTGTTTGATTTAATCCAATCATTTAAATATGTTAATTATAGAGCTGTATAAAAATGTATTTCTTTGAAATTTAGAAAGACATGTAAATATACATGTAACAGCTTATACTAAAATCTTGTCTGTGAATCTAAGGCTCACAAAAATGTTTCTAGAAAAGGGACTCTCACTAACTGGCCCTGTTTAATATTGTCATAGTTTTATGCTATTTTAGTGTTATTAGTAAAAACTAATTCAATACTGCTTCTTATAGATTTCTATTGTTTATCATTTTGCTCAGGTTGAATTTTCCAGGAACTGATATTTTAGTAGCACTCTTGAATAGTCTCATCAATTATTGACTGGCTTCCATATCAACAGGTCTGTTGCTATCTTAGTAAAAATCAGTTTATCAGAGCGACAACAACAGTTGTTTAATTTATGTTATAAATGATTAACAAATATTTAGAAACAGATATACATAGTAATGTACTTCTGCTTTTATTAATTTATTGTGAACTAACTACTTTGGCATTACTGTTTTGGTTTTCTTATGAGTATTTGCAAATCTGAATTTTGTATACTATTAGTATTTTTGTATTGCTATTAATGGATAGCAGTCATATTGAGAAATTAGAGGGTCAAGTTTGAATTCCGGTTCAGTTTGTTACATTCACTTATGTGCTAATACTATTTTGGAAAGGCATGAATCTATGTCTTGTCTTCCCAGCTGTGGGTAAATAGCAAGATGGACTGGATCCTATAAGCTTGGATGGTAACTGGTCTCGGAGGAGTCAAAACTCTGAATTAAAAACCAGCCTGAAGAATGGTTGGGCTCTGTCAGACTATCTTGCCCAGGAAACATTACTGTTACTGCAGCTACAGTATATGTAGTGACCCTATGATTCTAATGGGTTATGGAACTCATAATGATGAGTAAAAGTAATATAGTTTGATAGGAATTAATATTATGCATCTATCTGTACTTCAAGATGACTGGAATAAATTCTTGCAATCTTTGTATATCCTATAAATTGCTCATATTTCACAAATTTCAAATTTTAAAATTATGACATATTTGGGAACGATGTTAGAATAATCCAGAACTTATTATACTGGTAACAAACTGCCAGCATATGGATAGAAAATGAATTCAATAAATATACAAAAATAGAAAGGGGCGTAAGACAAGGATGTGTCTTCTCACCAGACTTATTCAACCTATACAGTTACGTAATTCTGAGAGAATTAGAAGTATTACCAGATTCATTATTGCAGCCACAATCTTAACATGATATATGCAGATGACAGTGTTGATAGCAGACATAGAAAGGTAACTACAAGAACTACAGAAATTAGTGAACGAAAGCAAGAAGTATGTACTAAACATCAATTGCCATAAGATAGAATGTATGGTTGTTAGCAAAAGGAACAGCCCAACATGCAAATAAAGTACAGATTTAATCCTGTCTTATACTTTCAGTTAACAAAATAAGCGTATAGAAAAAATGTAATCTCTTTCTGTATTGACCAATTAACCATTTTTCTTTTCTTTTTTAATACTATATCCCTTTAGAATGTAGGTGATAGGGTTTCTCTGCATTCATTTTCCTTTATCAATGAATTATCGTATTGTCTTGGGAAAGATAGTGGAATAGTTTCTGATTGCATTCTCTCTATGGATTTGAATTAAAAATTGTCCTCCTTTTAAATTGACTGCCACTCAAGGCTAGAAAACTCTTCTACCTTATTATTTAACCCATATCCAGAGGGAGAAGAAATGGATATGTGCTTTTTTTAAAGCCTTGGGTGTGATGTGAGCAGAACAATTTTGGAACTTGAACTTGGCTCAACAATTCTATTTTCCATGTTAACTGTTACACTACCCACACATCCTACACTAAATTTTTCTTTTATATGCCGTATCCTTTGTTCTCTTGTCTTTTTATTGCTTTAAGTAACTTTTGTCTCCTTGCCATCCCTTTTCGTCCTGATTCTGCAATCCATTCACTTAAACTCAAGTAGGTTATTCAGTTTCTTCCTACTTCTCTTGCCTTAAATATGCCCTTTGAGTTTTAAGTTCTCCAAGCTTTCTTTCTTCATTATGTATATCAGAAATTTTTGCTGCCTCCTTCCAGTTGTTAACTCTAGTTTCCTTGTTATTTATATTCTCCTTAAACATTCCTGATTTTTTATGTTCCGTTTATGCTATTAAGATTTGTCAGTAAATCCACAATATTGTTGCTTCAATTCTCTTCATCTGTGAAGAAATTGTCCAACATTCACTGACATACTGGAGATTAGCTATTACATAAGTTTCAGT